GAAGAAGAAGAAGAAGAAGAGGAAGAGGAAGAGGAAGAGGAAGAGGAAGAGGAAGAAGAAACCAAGGTTTGATTCTAAAGATCTCTAACATTTGAAAAAAAAGTCAACTTTTTATTGTTAATAACTATAATCCCTTCTCAAAAATATACCTTCATGTGATTCATATGCTATTGTTGAACAAAACCATATATACATATGCAATTTTTTTATTTTTAGGGTTTTTTATTGTTGTTTGTTTGCAAGGCTGGTGATTGAACCCACATCTCAGGCACTTGCACAAAGCTAATAGTAGACAAAAGTAAACTATCATTTTCAAACTATTAAAAAATACAAGTGAAGCAAACAATTTGAGAACATTTATGTTAATATGGTCCCTTAAAAGTTACATGAACCACAGTCCTCAAATGTCCATCAGCAACCATACGATTAGTATGAACTGTACAATTAGCATAATGTGTCTAATTTATTTGAATGGTTGCTCCAATATGGGGCTATTGGTTTAATAACATACTGTTTGCTCAAAGTAAAAAAATCAGTTATTCCCCCAAATTGATTGTATAAGCATTTAGTGTCCTCATATGTCCAGAGGACGCAGTTAAGTAACAAATAATCAATAGCTGTTTACTGAACAAAATCAACAAAACACAAGGCCTCGAATAAAGATGGAATGTGTAACAGAGGACAATGGCCAAACATACTTCTCCCAGGGAAGCATAACATGATCTTCCTGGCCTATTTCTATCTCTTCTGAATGTTGGTATTAAATCTAGTCCATTGTCCCAGCTATCAGAAAGTACTAGGAGTACAAAGAGGATTTTCTATAAGATCAGTTGATAAACCCAAAAGGTACACGAGAAGTCAGAAAATACCACAGAATGATCTCCTCGTGAGTCATGCTGGGTTGGTACCCCTGAGCTATCTATCCAGCTTCCATATACTTTTTCACCTTTGCTGTTTGACTTACAATGAACTGACCAATATTTTGCATTCCAACATATAAATTTTAGCTTGCCAACCAACTTGCTGTTGCTTCTTTAATCTGTATCCAGGAATCAATCTGGGATGGGATGTATTATTGGTACTGATTAAATATGTATCTAGAGCCTGAAAATTATACATAATACCTACATTTGGGCATGACCATAAAAATAGGTCTATGGACCAAAATAATAATTTTCTTCTCCATCAAATGATTTTTTTTATGCTTCAAAAGAAATCTGAGTATGATGTGAATACTCTTTCAAAAAGTACATTTTTAAATTGACATTTTGTATGGAGGATCAGAAATATCTGAATTTAGAATATCATCAATACTCTCTTGAAAAATAAAAAAATGTAATAGCTACATATTTGACAATCTTTGCACAAGTCAACTATCACACTAGTAAAGCTTCAGTAAACACTTTTAACTTAGTAGGCAAATTTCTGCTTTACCAAAGAATTAGGATACTTTCTAATGAGACAGGACCAACTTCAAACCACTTTCAAGACATCTCTAACTTTCAGGTAGATAAAAAAGTACACTTTGAAAGAGCCACATAGTGAAAATCCAGAAATGCTTCTGAGGTGACAAAATGGCTGGGAAAAAATAATTTTAACATTTGCCTTCACTATTCCATTTCTAAAATATGTGAATACTTAGTGTGCCTATCATATGTAAGAAAGACATCTTTCACATGGCCAAACTTTTATTCCTCTCTTCCTTGGTGACTCTCCTCTAGCATGCAATGTCTTTTTCTAGTAATATAATGAACTTTTCTACTTGCAAATGTTTGCCAGTTTAAATCCTCTCAAGCCACTGGACTCCTTTCTATATCATGAAGGCTTCCATTTGTAGTAGATAATCCATCTCCTCCTCATGAGCACAAGTCCCTTCAAAGGTGATACTTGAGATGCTTCTAGGGTGTCTTTCGAGAAAACTGCACAAGCCATCATTTAAACTGCTTATAACAGTTAAGACGGTTATGTCTAGTCTTTTTCTTCAAAGGGTCATTTATTTATAGCAAACTTTTTTCTCCTTGTTTAGGCATGCTGATGACCTCAACTGCCCCAGACTAGGTCCCAAGAGGAGAATTTCTTGGAAACTTAGATTTCAGGGCCTGGAAAGGATATTAGAAGTCATCTACTCCAACCCCTTCATTTTATAGCTGAGGACACTGAGCTCAGAACAGATAGCTGAGTGACTTTGGGCAAGTTTCCTGCCAAGTAGTACAGCCAGAAGCAGACGCCAGGTCTCCTGATGCCCAGTTAGGAGCCAGGTCTCCTGACTCTGAGTCCAAGATCTTTCCATTTCACACACTGTTTCTGTTCTCTGAGGCTGTGTTAGGCTGCTCACATTGATCACACTACTCTGTAAATGATCATGTTGGCTAAATAAAATGCTTTTGATGACAAGTCACGGGATGCTGTGTAATCGAGCTATACTTTAATTAATCACATGCTTCTCTGACCTGGAACATCTTGATGCCTCTCCCTTATCACACTGTGGATGATAAGCACCTCAATAAGCCTTTCAAGCAGTGTATGATGTACCCGCTTCTGGACACTTTCTTCCTCTACCCATGAGGTTGATGCTAGTCTTTATTCGGTTATGCTGAAGTATGAAACCCCCTATCTCAACACGTGCCCTGTAGTCCCCAAATATGCTTATCCATGCCTTGTCTGGATAGCTATTAATCTTTCTTTGGATCTCAGTTTAAACTTAAGTTTTTTAGAGAGGATTTTCCTGAGCCTTCTGGTATCTTATCCTGTTTCCAGCCATTTCGTATTCTAATGGGAATCTATACATTTTAGGATTTATAAAAAGTTCGATCAATGACATATTACGCCACCTCTGTAATGTTTCTTTGCTAACCCACCTCAAGCTTTGTAAAATTAGGTGCAGTGTCTATTTTTGATCATCTTAGTATCCTCCAATACCTAGCAGAATGTGCCCGGAACACAACCATAAGAGTTACTACTTAGTGGTCGATTATTTTGTGCCAGAGCTTGTTCTAAAGGTGATGATGTCATTTCTAACCACCAACAAATCTTGAAGGTTGGTGCTGCACTAATTTTATAGATTACAAATCTGAGATGCAGTTCAGTAGGGCTCTTATCCAGAATTACACAGAAAAAGCTGAAACTGAGATTTGAATTGCACATTCTTCCAGAGTCCAGCTTTGAAATGGGTAAGTTATGTTCTTTCACACTCAAATACTTTATAATTAATGAATGCATTTTTACCCAAAGTAAAATAACAGTTTCATTGATCTATATAAAGTAGCAAATATTTAGTATTTATTACATGTCAGACACTGTTCCAAGTACTCTACATATTTTAAATGTTTATTACCTATTTTGTCTTCCAGAACATTTAAGAGTTTCTGGTTTTTATATCTAGGTCTTTGATCCATTTGGGATCTGGGGATGAGGGCAGAGGAGAGGGTTGGAAAGAAAGTGGAAGTGAAAAAGATTAAGATGCAATATGTATGTACCAATTCCCCAAGTTGAATATAGTTATTATATATTGCAAAATATATCAATATAAAGGGGAAAAATTCATTAATTTTGAACAGACAGCTGAAAAGTAATAAATTGCTAACCCAACAATCATTAGTGGTGCCCAGTAAAGACAAAAGAAAGACAGAAAATACATAATTAAGCTAGAATAACTTCCTCCAATTTGCTAGACATAAAAGTTTCTCATTTGCATAAAAAATGGCTAACAGGAAGCAATCCCTTCCCCCTGGTCCAGACAGGGCCCCAGCAGGATGAAAGGTCTCCATGAGAGGCCTTCCCACCTCACGATCCCTCGGCAGGACACGTTTGTGAAGAGTACAGCTTACATACACACATTTTGGAGGCCTGGTTAAATGACAAAAAGCTGCCAAAGTAGGGTTACACTTAGGGAACCAAAACAATGATCATCTAATTTAAGAATGAGGTCTAAAGACAGAAGCAAATAATATAAAAGCCTCGTAAAAAGCCCACAGTCAGAGTGAGCAGGGAAAGCTCTTCCAAAAATGTGCTAAGACTTTGCTTATCATTGCCAAAATTTCAGACGGACATGGTGCTGCTCACTTAGCTGCTCATTTCATCAGCTAGAAAGTAAAGATAGCAACGCTAATCTTGGAGGATTCTTGAAATAATAAAACAATCTTGGGAAATCCCTTCTGTAAATGCTAAAGCACCCGGCAGTTTCTACCATTACTCGATATTCTTAATATATCTTAATATAAGAATAATATACCTTAGGAGCCCTGCAACAGTTCTTTCCTCGAGTTATGAATCAATTGTTATTGACTTAGAAAATGGATGAGTTGAAAGTGTTGATATACATATACACATATGATGACCCTTTAAATGTGTAAGTCTGTTTTACAGGTGGTTGAAGGTTCCTCCTGTACATACACCAGACACAAAGGGGAGCGACAGCCTTAGTTAGCATGAGATACCATTTTTACTCAACAATGACACTGTTAGACAAGTACAGAACAACACAGCCAAATCGAAAAGATGCATTTTAGTCCAAGGTTAGCCAACTCCAGTCAGCCCATCTGGACAAAGTACAGATGATTTTGTCCCTGAGTTTGGGGCTGCAGCAGTTTCCAGAGGTGTGCTATAAAAGTAGGGCAAAGAAATCCAGCCTTAGAAGCTACATTTCAGACTATGACCTGTGAACAGTATCAAAGGGACAGGTCACGTCGGTCAGTTGTGCAAAAGAAAAGACAAAAATAAATCAGGCCAAAATACAAATGAAAGAAGCAATTTGACCACATACTTTCCCACATCAATGCACGAGGTTGGAAGTATGAAGCACAGAGAACGTGAGAGACATAGGGGAAATCCGTTTAAATTTTCCACTTGCTTCAGGTTTCCCAGATGAAAAAAAAAAAACAATAATGCAAGTCTTTCTTTCCAAGGCGCTATCACATGCTTTGGTGAAGGACACTAAAAGAGGGAAAAAATGCCCACAAATACTGTTATCTCTGCTCACAGAATGTATCTTATAACCTTACCTAAGAGATTGGTTAACCACAGGGCCAGATCTTCTTTCATCGGTAGCAAATTAGCTTCATGTCTGCTGGCCAGCCACTGGCTATACTGATGCATATCAGACAGACCCGGCCCACTGCGTACCTTTGGATTCAGAGCAGTGCACATTATTTATCCACTTGTAATACCTGCATTGGAAACACAAGCACAGCTGCCTTTTAGAGAGTCTTCTCTGCTTAAAATCGTGCCCCCACGACTGTAATGAACCGGATTCATGAGCATTTTTCTAACAGTCCAAATCATTAATTATTAAACACTATTTACTTTGTCCCGGGCCTCTCACTTTTGTCCCAGCGCTTAGTGGGAAGCAGCAATAATCAAAGGTCAATAGAAAAATCAAACAGTAAGCGTTTAGCTTGTGTGAAACAATATATTTGGAAAGATCCGGCTGCTAAGGCAAGAAAGTGCATTTATGCAAATACAGTATAAAGCAGTTAAATTAAAATTTTAGTGTTCTGTTTAACTCATTGCTTGGATTCATTTTTAAAACTACAGATTTACACTTACTCTTAGGATTAGATATTATCTGCTAGGTATTTACTCAGTTTTTTGTACACTTACAGTCTTTACTCCTATATTCACTGCCCAAAAGATTAAGCTAAGTGTAGCACTTTTGTTTTTCGGAGCTGGCCAAGCAATGGTGCATTCACAATTAAAGATTTCATCCGTGGACACAGGAGGAAGATACTTTCAGAGTATCCCCCACCATTCTCTCTGGTAGTCACAGAAAACAAAGCTAGAGAAGAAACCTGACAACGAAGATCAGCCGTCTACACTTCGTCAGAATTAAGTTTGGATCTGGGTCTTTTCTTTTTTTAAGACCAATACTCTTCCCATAATGACTAATTTTGATGAAATAGTTAATTAAGAACCCATATTGGTAGCCAATAATTATACTTTATTTCTAACGAATATTGTCATAGTGTTGTTCTGTTTTGGTTTGGTTTGATTTTTTTGTCCTCTACTATCAACTCTCTTGCTTTGTATGTTCCCACATTTTCTGTTTTACACATTAGGGTTATTACTTTTAGGAATAAGTACTTAAATGTTTTACATCTATAAAAAGAATTGATGGTTTCATTAGCCCAATCCTCTATGACTAGCCCAAACCAAGGGCATAGAAAAGATGTTTGAATATGTGTTGCCCCGAACTACAGAAGCAACACTGAAGCAACTAGGACAAAGAGATACTGTCAATTAGGAAACATGCTGCATTGTCTGTAAATACAGAATGTACATGAAATAACCCAGTGCGTTCGAATGAGTGGCAAGGAAAAATATTTGCGACACAGAAGAAGTAACCCTATATGACACCCCGGGGTTTTCGTCCATGTTTCAACATCTACACTTTTTACGGACATGCTGGGAATAGAACCCAGGGCCTTGCCCAGCAAGGGCCCTGTCATGCAGCTGTATCTCCAGCTGTTCCTATGTACAGTGCGTTAGTTACCAGTATAAAGCACATGCTCTCTGGGTTTTATTCTCTGCAACTTTGCATAGTATTCCCTTCCAATAAATGTCCAGTCTAATTCCGTTGTAATAGATTAATTTATTTGAAAGATTACTTTTGAAAAAAAATAAGACAGTGATGTTCAGAAGAGTACAAAAGGTGACCATCTGTAAATATGAGAAGACATTTGGGAAAATGAGTAAATAGCCAAAACGTGCCATAAACATACAAGCAAAGGACACCATTTCAATGCTGATGCAATTACTCTGTGAGTAATTTTTGAAAAAAACCCATAAATTTTCTTTGACAATATCATGTAATTATGCGGAGAGAAGCAGGGCAAATGTAAATTGTTCTGAATACATCTTGTCGTATTACTAAATCGCGAATATTAGCATTGTTTATTCTCTCCCATCTAATAATGATATCGATCATTCCCTTAAAGTCCTAAGGTTTTTCTCCTAACCTTGTGATTCAACAGTAAACTCCTGAAACATTTTTTTGTTCCAATTTTCAAAAATATGTTCACTTTCAGTAAAATAAAACATCTCTCTGTAGTTGATTCGGGTTCCCACAGGTCAGCTAGCCTCAGAAATAAACATGCAAGTAATAATACATTTCAGTACATGATTTATACATTGAAATAACCAATTGAAATCTTAAAAGGGTTACCTCTAAAATGCCTTTCTTCTCAAGACACAATCTCTCCCACTACTGTCCTGAAAGTGAGATGTAGCTGCTCAGTAACTTTACCTACACCCTATTATGTGATTTGAAACTTCCACTAAGTTTGAGAGCCCTACTTTGCTCTATAAAAGCAAAAAGACACCTCAGAGTCTGAAGCTCATTGTCCAACAAAGAATTCATCAAGGGATAGTTTACAGCCAGCCTAATGGCATGTAACAATCACAACGAGCCAGTGGGACACAATCCTTCCCTTCCATACTACTAAACAGTGAAGTTTTTATTTTCCTTGACAGTAGCACATTTATTTCTCATATAATCTGCCTCATGTTTTGCCAGAAATGTAACCCAAGCTATCTTATAATATGTAGAGGTGATCATTTAGGAAGAACACTAAACATAATTGAGAATTTTTTTTTTTACTTTGGTAATTTGTACATATTAAAAATTTTATTGGGGGAGGAAAAGGAAGAATACAGCCACATTTCCCAGGAGGCCACATGAGACAAAGAAGGATTAATGGAAGATTAACAGGCTATAAAAGTTAAATAAACATATGACCAAGATGTAGAAATTTAAGGTCACTGTCATAGATGAGGACACTATGGTTTAGATCTTTTCTCAAAAGAATTAGGATTTCAACCCAATTTCTTCCAATCCACTCTTCAAATTCACATCATCATCAACTGGGCATGATTTGGTGGATCGGCAGAATGTCACTACATGGAAGTCTTAGATTTCAAGTTTGCCAGGAGAAAAGCAGGAAACATGGAATGGGCTCAGTTAGGATGATCAAAATTTGGGATGTGGCGTAATTTACCCCATGGTGAAGTAGATCCCAATTTAAATGCTAACATCGTTATGATAAAAGTTCAAATGAGTCTAAAATTCCCACATAGAAAGATAACTACAGAACTTGACCCTTTGTATAATTTTTAATAAATGGTAAATCATTCTGGATGAATTGAATTAGAGCATAAAGAACAAACTAACAAAGAGATCATTCAATCTTTTGAACTTACTCAAAATTTTCAAAACTCCAAAGGTGTAGGGGAAGTGGGAAGGGTACGGGAAAGGAAATAAGGGAAAAGAAAAAATATGAGAAAATGAAAAAATGGAAACAAAGTCTTTGTAAATAGGAAAGGGTGGAGGGGGTGAAGGGAGAGCAGGGGAATGGGGAAAAAATGAGCACCAAGATCTGTCATGGAAAGGTACAAGATCCCAATGATGAATCTAACTGTACTGCATACTTAAAAAGTACCAATAAACTTAATAAAAAAAGAAAAGAAAAGAGATGTCAAGGTGGGGCATTTGAAGATGAAGTGAAATGATAACTGATTAACTGGAATCAGAGAAAAAAGGTAGATTAGGAATAGAGAAAACATTTTTTTGTATACCTAAACACTGCAAGTATTTACAATACAATTTCTATAATCCCAATATTTTACAAAGCTTGACCAGCAAATGTGGTAAACACTAAACCCAACTATTTAGAAGGAGAAAGAACTCCAGTACTCTCCTGAGTCTTCCACACTGTGGTTCTATAAGCTCTCCAGGTCCACCAAAAAGTGGAAAACTCAATCCTCAAAACTTGGAATTTGGAAAAATAAAGCTTAAAGGGAAAAACACGCAGAAACTTAATATGGTATTCTTCAAAGACTCTGTGTGTATTTTTGTTCTTTCTTTCCACAGGAAAAGTGATTCTGGAATAACAATTATGAATATGATGAGACATGAACAAGCCCAGGGGAAGAAGAAAAAGTAAATGACTCCATAAGTGAAATAGCACATGTGTAAAGACTGTCTGGTCTGCTTCTCGGGAATCTCAGTGGAAGACAGGGTATCTCTGACTCAGAAGAGAGGATTCTGTCACGCCACCTAGAGGTGTGCTTTGATTATGACCAAGATGAGTTTTGGCCTGTCTTGGATTACTGACACGTTAGAGTGGATATGCTGCACAGGAAATAAATTGGAAAGAAAGAATAGCAATAGTAAAGTAAGATCAACATTATGTCACTGCTGTGTGATTCCACTAAGAAGCCAGATTAATAGATGCAATACAAGAACTGGAATCAGAAGTCCTAGGGTCAAATAATGGCATCACTATGTTACCTACTATTAAGTAACTATTCTATTCTAGTCATCTGACTTTTCCTTTTGGTGCCTGACTTCCCTGTGTACACTGAAAACTAACACTTCAACGGAATTGTAAGGATTCAATGTCTGTGCCAGTGCCTTTATAGTCAATATCGCCATCATTACCATTAGAAAATAGATCAAAATAAAACTTCCACTGAATTATTTGGAAAGAAATAAAATCCTGCTACAAAATAGGAACAGTTTACAAAACTGTGAACCTTTAGGAAAAGTCAAAAGAGAAGGGGGAGAGGAGAAATCAGGCAAAGTATTAATGATGTAAGCCTATAAACAGTGAAAAATTCCAAAGTCTCCTTCACATTGAAAAAAAATGTCAACTCTAAGATGATGTATGAAATCCTGAAATATAAAATGAATAGCGTATATGTGCTTCTTTAAGTATTGGTCATAAATTATACTACATTTTTTTATCAGTTAAAGATCATAAACTAATATGATAGAGAGATCCTCTCCCTCTCCCCGTTTCCTCTGCTCCCTTCCTCCCCCTCTTCCTCCCTACCTCCCCATCTTTGTGTCAAACATATAGACTCAGAGCCTCAACTATGGATCCTGAAAGCAATGAGTCCTAATGGTCCCAAGCCAAGGGACTCAGCCCCAGGGGCCCTCCTTGCTTTCACCTGAAGTATAGACCTCAAAGTTTCTATTCACTTTTGTTTATTATACCTGCAGCATAACGTGGAAACAAAGAGTACAAGTCATTAACACTATCTTTCAAAAATAAAAACAAACATAAAAGGCTCTACACCCCAAAAGCTTCCAAAATTTAGAGAAAGAAGATGTAATCCTTCAAAACTGGACTCAAAGAATAAATCATCAATGATGGTTCTTTTGCCATTGTGAGTACTTTTAACATCCAGATTCTTTTTTTTTTCTTAAGCAATAATTCATCTAAAAAAATGTATATTCTTAACCAATGCTATGAATGCAAAATCCTAATCGAAGCGTCTAGGTAGAACATGAAGTCCTTAATTTAATCAGAAAAGTAGTTTCACATCTTGAAATGGAATCTCTAGCTCTTTTGGGAAGTGGCTGTCCACAAATAAATGAAAACCAAGTCACTAAACATAAAGGCAAAATTTAGCGCAAAATTTTCTAATAGCATAGTAAGACCTTTAAACTCAAAACAAGACCTTTGAAAATGTATCTAATGGAATTCCTTGTCATTAATGGAAGACTGGAATCAGTCTGCGGAGTGTTAACTCTACCAGCTTCCTTCTCTTGACCCCAAGCCCCATGATGCTCCATCTTGGATGAAATGATGGTACCCCTGGGATCACAAGTCCTTCTCAAATCAAGAGTAAAAAATGTGACTGTTTGGGAATTGTGGTTCTATGTTCTATGGCATTATGGATTTTTCAAGTTTATCTTTCTAAATCCCATTAAACCATTCTTCCTAATAATTTAACACAGGATTTTTTTTTTACCTTTATCAGATGAGATTGAAACATAATTTGAATGGAAAGCTATCCAAAAGTCATTAATTGTAATTCTTAAGGGCTATGTCAAAACTTTGTATAAACAGACTGGGTAAGTCAATTTATGACTAGGTATTTTTTTGTACTGTTAATAAGACAAAGGCTTCTGGTTTACTTAAGTTTAAGGTAGTCAAAAGCAAGAAGAGTCCTAATATACAGACATTTCTCATGTAGGACAAATATTAAAAGATAAGTTGACCCTAAGAGCATTTGACAGAAAATTCCACAAATATATTACCATTTTTCTGAGAGATATTTTCTATTTTCATTCCAGATCTAGCCTCTAGTTTTACTTTTCTTTTTAGTTTTGAATGTGAAAACTTTGATAGTTCCTCAGGAGAAATAAAAAAGAAATAGTAGATCTTGTTTGGGGCACATAGTCAAAACACAAAAATACCAACATAATGTCACCATATCTGCAATAGTTTAAACATAAACCATAACACACTGTAAACAAATTCTGAGAGCTGCATGATTTGCCTTCAAGGAAGGTAACTTAGGTGTTTCAAAGGCTCCTAAAGTCCACAGTGCGGACTGGTAGTCTTGGAGCAAAATTCTAAAATAACGAGGCTCAAAGTTGCACCATATCTGCAAGACTGAGATTTCTTCACTACGCCTGCTTACCGAGACACTAGAAAACCCAAGGGCAGATCACACAGCCTTTCTGCACACGGTGAAATAAGTTCTGCATTATGAAGCTACTTCCTCAGAAAGTTCAGTCCCCTCACAAAAGTAGGGTACTTAGCTGTAAAGTAAAGAAACAGCCCAATGCCTGGGAGCATTTGGGCTGAAATCCAAGCTACCTTTCTGTGCAAAAGCTCCCGCGTGCACCCCAAAGGCATCCTGTCCAAGACCGGCTCCGGCCCTTACCTTCTCCTAGGCAGCCAGAACTTGGATGCCCATATTGCACAGGACCGCCCCAGCCACCGCCTTCTCCAGAGTCAGGGGGAGCATTCCTTGGGAAAGCGCTCATTGATCACTCAGAGACAAGCCGGGCACATCTGAACCCAGTTGCTCATCAGTGTTCCCAGGAAAGAAGATTCGCTCAGGGTTTGTCCTTGGCCTGGCCTCTGCGAATCTCAAGGCGTAGGCGAGGAGGGAAGCAGGGCTTCCTCTGCGTGGCTGGTACATCCCACCTGTCCGGGCCTTTATCCTAACACTGGGAGGCCGAGCGGGTGTTTCTGTGCACTGGCAGATCCCGTTCCCACCCGCCCCGCCAAACGCCACACTGCACGATTAACCCGGCTCATGGAACGGGGGTGGGGGTGGGGGAACCCATTCAAGTGTTGTCAGCTCTTGCCTGGGAAAGGACGCAGGTGGAAGATGAAGAGGGTGGAAAGGGTACAGGCAGTGACTTTTGAGAAAGATTAAACGGAGGAAAGTTCGGAGTCGCCCACTCCCACCATGGAGGGTACTGGAGCATTCAAAACAGAACCTAAGGACTGCTGATGTTGCCGCCTCTCCACTCCACGGACCAGGCACATCAGAGGTGTGGGCACCTGGCTTGCAGCGTGCAGTACTGAGGGATACAAGTTAACGAGGGCTTCCAAAGCCACGAGTTGGTTTCCCCATTCCGGATTCCAGTCTTTGAACTGGTCCAAAAGAACCACACAGCATACAACCTTCCCAAGCGGCAGCCTTTGACTAATCAGTTTTTCTAGAAACCCTCAACTCCGTCCCATTCATCCCTGGCAAACTTTGCGCGCCCCCCGCCCCGCCACCCAAGCCCGGGGCACTGGTATTGCGGATCCTCCCTCCTGTCTCGCTTAGTGGACTTCAACCTTCAGCACCAGCCGAGGCGCAGCTTCCTGGCGCTCAGCTCAGCGCGTTAGAGCCGGTGCGGGGGCCAGTGCGGGTGCCGGTCAGAGACGTACCCTCGGGGCTCCGGTGAGGGGTGAGGGCCTCACTCTTCCTCCAGGGAACTAAGGGCGCCGGGGTGACCCCACCCCCACCCCACCGCCCCGCGCCGCAGGGAG